CATTACTATCATTACTCCTACTGTTATAAATCAAACAACAGCCTATAAACATTTCATCCTCATCATTCTGCATAAAAACCAACATAACGATCAACACGGGAACTAACTTTAAGTCCTAAATTGGCTACTAAGATTCCACTTCCTAATCTTCATTTTAATCCACTAGAATAAAGTTCATCGCGTTAGCTATCCAACACTTCGAACGGAATCTCAAACGGCATCCTAAAACTCAAGTTACAGCATTTATAAACTGAATCTTCCAAAAACCAGGCAACATGGATCGACGCATAACTCCTTGGATTGACGCGTACTGCATTGAATTCGCAACATGAGTCGACGCATTCCCTCATGTATCGACTCATCCTGAGTCAAACACACAGCATGTATTGACACACGCTCCTATGGATCGACTCATCTTGAGTCTAAATTCCTCATGTATCGACGCAAAACCTCTTCGTGTCCACTCATCATGAGTCTCTACACCTTCTTGTATTGACACATAGCATTTGAGGTCGACACATCCTGTTATATCCTGCATAAGTTCTGTGATTTCTCTGTGTTTTCACTACGGGATTCATACTTTAAGCCCTAAAAACTTAATCTAATCATAGATAATCATCACTCACAATTATCCTATAATTCTACGTCAATTAAACAACATCGGGATATCATTATTCATCTAAAATTCATCAATTCTTCATCATACAACATCATATACATTCAATTCAAGAACAAGACGACAATCACCTCTAACCCCACATACCAATTATCATGAACCCAATTATATATCCAGAACCCCACCCTTACCTTGGATTGAAGGTCGTCTATAATCTTCTGGTCGAAACCTCGTTCTTCCGTTCTTCTCTTTTTCCAGCAGCTTCACGTTCTTCTTCTCAATCCTTATTCTTCTACTACCTCTTCTTTCTATTCTTTCTAACCACAATAAAATAACCTATTATTCTTTATTCCTTATTGGGCTTAAAACTAATACACCCCCTTATTACTTCTATTCCTTAAAAACAAGCCCACATCAATAATATTATACTTCTAATATTATTTCTCCACTTAATAAAATACTTAAATCCAATTAGTCACAACACAACTTCACAAATATTCCAAAAAATAATTTAATTAAATGAATAATTAAATTACGGGCGTTACAACAAATACATGATATATATAAAGAACAATTATGCTCTCTAATAAATTATTTAAATATGCAGAGAAGTTATGATAAAGAAGCATAGAAGTTGGATAACAATTTGCACTAAGAAGATCTAATAAGAATTTATGTACAAGCTAAATTAAAGTATCACGCTCAACAGAAGAAGTTTTGTTGTTATAACTTCTGAAAAACCAAAGCTGCAAACTAAAATCTGATGAAGCAATACTCTGATGATCTAAAGTCCCAACGTTAATATTCTTATTCTGATCAGATTTCAAAGAAGCAAAGTTTTGATGTGTTACATTTCATTTATTACAAATCAAGGAGTAACGGCTGGTACCAGACAAAATCTGAATTTTTGGAAAGTGCATTAACAACATTTTATGGACCTTCCAAAAACATCTTCTCATGTCTCAAATGGATCTAGAGCTTCGCCTATATAAATGATTTTTTGAAGAGTGATCAAATAAAACTTGCTTGCATACAATTGAAATATTCATAAAGTTCTTATCTATTATACTGTTCATTATGCTTTAACCTTGTGTAAACATCACAGTTGTGATATAGTTTTCTAGAAACATTCTCGTACACATTTTTTATTCACATTTTGTAATTCCTTGAGAAATCAAGTTATGATTTAGTCTAGATAAGATATTGACGGTAGTCTTTGTGATTTTGTAATCAAAGTTTTGATTAGTTGATTAAGACCTCGTTTGAGAGAGGAGAAATCACCTTGGCGGATGGACTGGAGTAGTTTGAGTTCAAATGAACCAGGATAACCAAATGTGTCATACTGTTTTTATTTTTGAAAACAATATTCAAACCCCCTTTCTTGTGTTTTTCCATCCTTCAATTGACATCAGAGGGCCTAGTTTTGGGTGCTAACACTTAACCGTGTCAGAAAAAGATCCTAGCAAGAAAAACACTATGGCGGAACCAGTTCAAAACAACAACTATGATGGGAAAGACAGAATTAGTGGCAAACCTTCAATCTTTGATGGTGAAAACTTTGATTACAGGAAAGACAAAATCAAAAAGAAATTCTTAGCTCATGACACTGATCTCTAGGATATGATAACTAATGGCTACATTCATCCAGTTGATGCAAATGGTCAGAAGATCGATAGAAAGAAAATGATAGATTAACAAAAGAAAGAATTCAGAAATCATCACAAGGCCAGAACAGTCCTCTTGAGTGTCATCTTGTACACCGAGTATGAGAAGTCGTATGGAAACGTGGGATGACTAAGAATCTTCTGAAGCTGAAACTGAATCAGAAGATGAACGAGCCAATATAGCATTAATGAGCAACATATCAGAAGACACAAATACATCAAAATCTGAATCAGATTCAGAAGAGGTATTTTCAAAATTCTCTAGATCTCAATTAGAAGAAAGTCTGTCTAAAATTCTTGAAAGATATCAGCAACTTTGAGTCAAATACAAGAACCAAAAACGCGTTCTTGTATCTGAAACTGAAGAAACAAGGAAACAAAAAACAGAAAACTCTGGGATAAAAAAATTCTAAACTTAAAAATGAATTACAAAAAGCTCAGGAAGAATCTATTTCAGAAGTTTCAAATAATTCTGATAACATCATAAAAGAATATGATCACAGCTTTCAAATATTTCTAGCTAGAAACATAGATAGAAGCAAGATGGCTTCAATGATCTATAGAGTTAGCAGAAATGACATAAAAGGTGTAGGATATGTGAAACCAAAAGGAGAGGAACCATATCAAACAAAGAAAGTTGATGATATGGTCATAAAACACACACCGTTAAACTCACACTTCACATATGGACACACATATGATATAAAATATACTAGTGAATCTTACTCTGCGAATTCTTCTGTGAAACCAAAATTCAATCAGAATTTTGGAAACTCTAACAAACAAGGACCCAAAAAGATATGGGTGCCTAAGGATAAAATCATCTGTGTTTCAGATGTCTTTAACAACAAAGTTGAAACACCAGTCTTGGTACCTGCCTCTGGATGCTCTTGACACATGACGGGAAGAAAGCATATGTTCTAAAGCCTGAAACTTAAATCTGGATGATACGTAGGTTTTAGAGGCAATCAGAAAGGAAAGATTATTGACTCTGGAACTATTGGTAACGATACACTTCTCTCTATAACTAATGTTCTATTAGTAGATGGATTAATGCATAACCTGTTATCCATAAGTCAATTAAGTGATAACGATTATGATATAATCTTTAATCAAAAGTCTTGTAAAGCAGTTAGTCAGAACGAAATTAAATATTAAAATAAAATTAAATAAAACAAACAAAATAGAAATTACTTAAATATTAAAATAAAAAATTGCTTATATATTAAAATGCTAACTTCAATACTAGCTTCACTTAGTGCATAACATGTTGGACTAGCACAACTAGAAGCAACATTCGAACTTGTTCTACAAAAGGAAGGGTCGGTTTTCCATGAACTACACCTTTATTGAAACTGATTTCACCTGCATGATCATTTACATCAAAAGAATTCTTATAAGAACATTTGCAACCAAGAATAGCTAGAAGACCCTTTCTATGAACTTGATTTTTCCTATTACACCTTTATTGTATTTTACTTGCTTAGAAATTTCTCACATAGTTGTCAATACTCAGTAATGTGATTGTTCCTAATTCTTTTGCTCCTAAACTTGCATTTAACAGGAATCTTAATGTTGCTGAAGACGATTCAGGTAAAGATGCAAATGAAGACAGTTAAGACCTAGTTTCATGGCTTTACTGCAAGATTGTGGTTCACTTTGAGAAATATAGAGACTTCCATATTACATTGATAGTTCTCAGTGGTCGCTCTTTGCAAGACGTATTGATTTAGGTTCAGTTTGATTTAGCTTATAGCTTATGACTCTGAGTTTTTTCAACTAAGTAATTGATTTCTACTTTTTTGAAAAGCCCTTATAGTTCTACTAATCACACCAATCTAACTAATGACATTGGGTCTCGTTGCCGGATGACCATTTGATATCCCCCGTTACAACAATACTTCATAGGCCTCATCACATAATCCAGATTCAGCATATGACGATATCAGAGCATTCCAACTTACAAAATTCTTGTTCTATATGTTAGAAAATGTTTTATGTGCATCCCCAAGATGCTCATACTTCTTCCCATAAGTCCCTATCAATGCATTTTTCACAAAATAACCTTCATATCAACCTTTAATAACATACCCATAAATTTGTTTCCCCCATTGAACTCCTTCCATATTATCAACACTGACAACACCGCAGCTATAGCTTCAGCATTGATCTCAATTCCCTTTGTTCTCATCAACTTAAACAACTCTATAGTTTAATCATAAAGTCTACATTTAGCATGCCTGGACAAAAGAGAAATCCAAGTTACATACTTTGGCTTCGATCTTTCCAACTACATTCGTTTAAAAATCCTAGAAGCACCAACAAAATCAAGGTTAAAAGCATAACTGGAAACCAAAGTATTCACAAAACGCTTATCACAACCATTCCATCAAACACTTGGCATGCATGCTCCATTTTCCTAAATTTCCCATACACACCCACCATTTCATTCGCCACGTGAAGATGATTCCTAAAACTCAATTGCAAAACGTGACAATGAACAATTTTGCAAAGACTAAGGACACCAAGATAAGAACATGCTTAATCATCAAGGTGAGAGTGAACCCATTAGGTAAAAATTCAAACATTTGCATTTGAACATAAAGTTGAATAGCATATTTATAGTACCACATGAAAATACAGAATAAGAACCAAGAAATTTACAAAACAATAGTCCTCATTAGTTTTCTTTTTAGCAAAAATAACTCATCTAAGCAAACTCAGTCCACGTTTAGGGCCTTTGGAACTTTAATGTAAGGCTCCTCATAGCTCGGAATCGAAGCAATGATAGCATTCCTGCAAAGAATACACCAATATATCAGACCATATTACTCATATCCAATACGCCAATTTATCGATAACGAATAAACAACTCACCGTTGATCAAATGTTTCAGGAGTATTGTCACACAAATTGTTTTCAGTATCTGCAGATAAGCAAAGTCAATAAGCAACAATGTTTTTCATGTAAACAAGCAAAAATTGAATTTATGATATTGGTTATGATAGCACTTGCTGTAACGTCCGTTAATTAATTATTTAATTAATTATTTTTGAAATTATTCGTTGAAGTTGTAAGATGTTGTGAATTGTTGACATAAATTGTTAGATTATTACTAGTTAATTAATTAGTTGATTAATAATAGTAATAATGCTAGAATTAGTGGAATACTAGAATAATTATGTTGGGCCTATTCTAATGGTTGGAAGTAATAATACATAGGGTGTGTCGTTAAGCCTATTAAGAAGAATAATAATGTGAGGTCTTATTTAAATGAAGAATCATGTCAATTGGAATAAGGAAGTTGTTGGAAACTAGTCGTGAGAAGTGATGAGCAAAGGAATAAGGAAAAGAAGCGAAACAAGGTTCCGGTCGGAGAGCTGTCGAGTGACCTTCAATCCAAGGTAAGGGTGTGGTTCTGACCTTATAATGGGACTATTGATGAATACTATGTGGGGGTTGGTCGTAGGTATAGTTGTTGTGCGTTGATTGTTCTGGACCTGTTCTTGAAAGTTACGCGTTATCATGTTGTGGTCGTTTAGGAATCTTAAGTATGACTGTCTTGTACGATTGATGAATCTGGTAATAGGAGATGTAGTTGTCCGTTGCTATGTTATTCCGCGCGGTTGGTCAGAAATTAATGGTCGACGAGAATAATGTAAGGTTGGGATAATGTTCGTCACAAACTGGACGAAATCTATGCAAAAATGTGAAGACGCGTTGTGCAGAGGAGCACAGGTAATTGCGTCGAGCAGTATAAGACTGTAAGATGTGTCGAGGAGCACATGTGCTAGGTGTCGAGCGGCATGAGGCTGCAAGGTACGCCGAGGAGAATATGTACTTGTGTCGAGCGGGACAAGGCTGTGTGACGTGCCGGGAAGTATGTTGTGTGTCGGCCGGTAAATAGACATGAAGGGAAGATATCGAGCGACACGACCACTGTGTCGAGGGGTACACGTCATTATTAAGATCCCTACTGTTATTCTCGTGCAGGCTATTTTAGTTATTTAAATTAGTTTAAGAATCTCAGCATAATAATTAGGATTCTTAAGGTATTCTATCCCTATAAGATTAATGAATTCTAGTAGAAATAAGTTAGTAACAGGAGAGATACTATAATTAATAAGTGACTAGCAATATATAATCGAATTACCCGAATAATTACGCAGGAAATCATAGTATATTTTAGTTGATACGGTGTATTGTATACTGGATGTAATTTGAGAATTTGCAGGTAATATGGAATTTTGTTGAGATGCCTCTAATTATTGGGAGATATTAAGTTGTAGGTTTATGGCCAATGTTGAATTGTGTTAAGTTGTTGTTGAATTATTATTGTTGTTGTTACTACATTCATATTATTGTCGCATACATAACATATCAAGTTGGGAGCTCATGCTCGTTAAGTTGGCCTAGATTGACAAATATAAAGTTGAAGGCTTATGCCTTGTTGATGCCTCTATTAATGGGCTTTTAAGTTGAGAGTTTTGCTCCGCTGGTATCACATGCATGTGCATAAAAACAAGTCGCGTTTCATATTGCATCCTGAGTTGTGCATGGATGAATTTATTATGTTAAATATTGTTAGTAACGTGCAGGTAATCAAGAGTGAAGACTGTTTACCTTCAGTAGTTCAAGTCGATGTCGTCGCTCTGATACGTAACACTCAGGGGGATGAACACTTGTTGCTTTATTGTTGATTTTACTTCTGTTGCTGAATTTTAAGTTGTTTTTGTTATGTACTTGTTGATTTTAAGTTGTTTTCGGTTCGACAAAGATGTTATGTCATTTGAGTTGAACATTGTGATTCCGCTGCTTAATTATAAAGTTGTTTTATTTTTAAAGACTAAATAGGTTGTTATCAGTTCACCCAAATTTTATGTGTTATGTATATGAACTATATGCGATTGAATGTCGTTGTTTATAAGTTGAAAGTGTAGCATTTCATTTGTTTGTTGAAAATTTTGTAACTCTAATTTTACATAATTATTCGTTGGATAGAAATGAGATGTTACACCTGCTCTAATAGAAGGCTCAATGCTTTCAAGATCAACACCCTGCAACTGTCCAAACCTTCCACACAAATCAAGTTTTGGTTCCTTAGAACTTAAATGTTAAGCCTCATAATCAAGATTTTAAAAAACTATCCACAACCACGGCTGCCACAAATTGTGATTAATTCACGCTGCGACGCAATGACCGTAATCAATATCGTGACAACTGTAACAACCAAATTCGTAAAAACCTTAACGCGACCGTTTTTTAAAACCCCTCGTAATATCAATCAAATAACCAATAAAGGGGTTTTCGATTTATTTACCAGCCAATCACTTGCTAAATTTTAGGACCAAATTCTTCAACCTAAAACAAGATAAACTACTATTAACATTTGAAATTCAACAAAAAAGATTATAATTTGAATGAAAAAAGGGAATTACCTCAGTTGCGGTAAGAGAGATATGAGCAGTTTTTGCCAAATGAAACACATTTGGAGATTCAAGAGACGAATAATTTGTCTTTGACGACAACCTACGAAACTGTAACAACTTGTGTTAGATTTTCGATTTCGACTTCGATAGTGTTAATGATAATAATGGTGTTCCTTTGAGTAACACTTTGTAACAACTCATCTTCCTTCAATTTTACAAAACCCAATCTCAAAACTCTCGAAACTTTGGTTTAAGGTTGAAAGTTTTTGTTTTTGCAACTTAGTCCCTGAAGAAAATGAATATTCTATTATAAGTCTTTTTATAAATAGGTTAATTTTTTTCTTTTTTCTTTTTTGGGTCAATCTCAAAACCAAACGCAGAAACTTCATCTTCATGTCGCGGCAGAGATCCAAAAGATTCGAACTTCCTCCCGGTCAAGAGGTAATCAAAATCTCCGATCAATCAATTTTGTTCTTTTTTTATCCATATTCATAATCAAATTTCACTTTTCGCTGCAAATTAACGTGTTTTCATCATTGTTTTTGTTTGATTTTTGATTAATTATGGTGTGAGTTGCAGAATGTTGATAAATTGGAGAAAGTTGTAAAAGATGGGAATTATTATGGAGCTCAACAGATGTATAAATCCATCAGTGCCAGGTTCAAACAATTTCAACCTTATGTTATTATTGTTATGCGTTTTCTTCTTCAATATAAATGCATATTATTTATCTATGAAGTATGGATACCTATCCTGAACACGACACTGACACGCAACACCACCGGTAATAATTTGAAAAAATCAATAGATTAAACGTAATTATAAGTGTCGTTTGTAGGTGTCTGTCACGGACAGGCCTCTTTTCCGAGGCGTCTTTGCTATATGTTTTATCTTCAATTTGAAAATTTTGAAATCGGTCGTGAAGTTGTTTTCCATTGTTATTTTCTTTCAGTATACATGTTTACAAATTGTTGTGCAACTGTGCATACCCACAGTTGCACTGTTTTAGGCAAAGTACCGGTACCGGGTACATATCCGGTATTGGTACACATATGGTATGTACCGAGTCTGTACTTTTTTTTCTGTTTGATACGCCCTTTGGTACATGAACCCAGGAAAAATGCATTTTTTTTCTTCCGTCAGAATAACTTCGAAATTCTTTTGGGTTAAATTTAAGTTTTTTAAATTATTTATAAAAGGAGAAGTAAAAAGCCAATTTCATATAATCTTTCCCTCTTGACTATCTACGTCAGTATGCAACTCTTAGGTTTCAGTCTTTGACTCCATGAATTATCAACACTTTTCGAATGTGATTTTTTATGTTATTGAGCGGATCTTGACTCTTTTAAAAAGTTGTTTTTTGATTTTGGTGTTTTGTTGTTATTTGGACAATATAATTCTTCTATATTATTTTTTAACAGTATAATTATTTTATGTTGTTGTTATAATTATATTTTGAAAAAATTATACAAACGTATCCGTATCTTAATTTTTTTTAAAATGTCATATTCCTTACTCGTACCTGTACCGGGTACTACCCGAACCGGTGCAACATAGATGCATACACATTTTCTTTCCATTGTCAAGTAATTGAGAGAGAAGAGATTGATGTGCATACATGTTTTGCTGCAGATATGTAACTGCTGAGAGGTACGCTGAAGCATTAGATATCCTACATTCAGGAGCATGCCTTCAATTGGCTCATGGACAGGTTGTTCTACATTTTTTGTCTTTCGAGATATATTTCGATCATCTTTATTAGCCGTGTAGGAGAAACTACTAAATTTTTCCTTATTATTAGCCTTGTGATTTGGATGAACAAAGCTATTCGTGACATTTTCTGAGACACCTGAAAGCTTAGGTTGCTAAAAGTTACTTGCTAGTTAGGAAAACTAAATGAATGATTTTAACATTTCTATCTGAATTTGCATTTAGTTTTAAAACACATTATTGGTTAAATATTCATCTTGATGATAAGATTAAGAATATATGGAAATTCTTCCAGCGGTTGACAAACATGAAAGTTTAAGATTTATCTTCTCGTTGTTGTAGGTTACTTGTGGCGCAGAGCTTGCTTTATTGTTTGTGGAGATACTAGGGAAAGGGAAAATTCCTTATGATGATGAAACTCTTGGTGCGTTTTTATCTTGTCTTTAACCATCCTTCAATTTTTTTATCGGCAATTCATTTTTTGACCATTTATCGGAAATTCTTTTATTATAAGGTGTTCTCACTCAATTCCATGAGAATTTTTAATTTGGTGACTAACATGTGTTTGCATAAGCATTCATTCTTCTTATTTAGTAGTTAACCACAAAACATCCATTCTTGTTACTAATTACAAACAATTTTCAACGGCAGATCGTCTCAGAAAAATATACGAGGGATTTCCACGGGTTCCACTGCCACAACACCTGTGGGATGTCGATGACATGCAGCAACTTTCGGAAAATCTTGGATGTGCAAAGATACGTGTGGAGGGCTGTTCCTCATTCTTAAAAGCTGCTATCAAGTGAGAGAAATATGTTATTAAACAATAGTTCATGGTTGTTTATGTTGTAATCGTTTGTTCCCTCTGAGCAATATTTCTGACTTTGCTGCTATTTTATTCAGGTGGTCTGCTGAATTTGGAACAAGTAGTAATGGAGCTCCAGAACTCCATATTCTTCTCGCTGAATACATATTTTCTGAAAGTCCTGAGGTGGTATGTATCATAATATCCCTTATAGGGAATGGAATCTTCATTGTTGCTTCTCTTGAAAAGCTTCGCTTAACATTGAAACTAATATGAGCTTTGTTTGTATAAATAAATGACAATGTGCTTTTGACATGCAGGATATGAATAGAGTGACATATCATTTTGTGAGAGGAAATGATCCGATCAAGTTCGCTACTAATCTAGTGAGCTTTTTGGGCAGGGTCAGCTTCTTAACTTTCTTATTCCTTGTTATTTGGTTCAATTTTGCAAAATTCTGTCGATGCATATAAAAAAAGTTTGATCTTACTTTTTATGCGAAAACTTGGTTCAACATATGCATATGTTTTTAACTTTTTAACTGTGGCGTTCATTTTTTTTTTTTTTTTGACATAGTTTTAGGAAGGTTCACTGATATGCTTTTCAAATATTGTAGTGTTATCCCGGTGAAGATGATTTGGCCATTGCTCGGGCTGTGTTAAGGTAAAATCGTAAAAGCATTTGAGACTTGAGAGCATAATTTCATGCATATTCGGTTAATATCTCGGACCTGTAATTTCATGCTTATTTCAATAAGGTTACGAACTGAGCAATTGCCAATTTCTTGCATGATAGGTATTTATCTTTAGGTAATTTGAAGGATGCAAACATACTAGTGGATGAGATAAAGAAGCAAACTCAAGCTTCTGAGGTCGAGTTTCCAAAGACAGACTTAATGCAATTCATCAATTTTCTCTTGCAAACGATGGAAAGAGATGCTTTTCCTCTTTTTAATATGTTGAGAGCAAACTTCAAGTCATGTATTGAGAGGGAACCCGCCTTCAATGAGGTCAGCTAACATACAATTCGATCTCATTTGCTTCAATGAAAAATGAAAATTGTGACCATCTTATCTTGTGTTATTATTATCTTATAATTATTTTTCGCTTGGTGGAATTAAAATTTCGATAAATGTTCTGTATTTGACATGTAAACTGTGATTTAGTTGCTAGACGATATTGCGGAGAAGTTTTACGGTGTACAAAGAAGGAACCCTATGGGAATGTTTGGGGATATATTCAAGGTAAGAAGTCTATTCATAATTTTCATTAGTTTACTTCTGAATGCACAAAAAACTTGTGATTGTGATTAATTAAGATACAATGTTATTCTTATTATGCAGATGATGGGAGCTGAGTAGTGATATTCACAGATGAGATTCTACTGATAGAACAGCAATTTCAGCAGAAGATTTTTCCAATAATTTAATGATAGCACTTTTTTTTCAATGATAGAGCAAATTCATGTCAGCAAACAAAATCCTTGTGTAATTTATTGATAAAGTTTATTTTGATGAATGTTATATGACTTGTAAAAAATAGTTTCACAATTTTGATAAGAACTAACTGTTTCTAAATTTCAATTATCAATCTTTTGTTTCAAAGTACTAGATTATGAATAAATGTTACTGACATCAAAGAGGTCCAGAATGCCATCAAATCAGATTTATAAATGGTCAATTATTGTCAACAATTTTGAAAATGTGTTTCTGCATTTGTGATACACCCTAAACCCTATACTATAACAATGTACATCTTCATTTGGAACGGTTATTAGATGAACCTGAAAAATAAAATTTTAGCAAGAATATTGTTAATTTTCCGACAGTTATTAGATGAACCTGAGAAATGTGAAAGCTATAAACACCATTGAAATGAATCAATAAACTTGCATTGCATTGATGAGAATGGATTACACAAGATCTACCATACAATGTTAAGCCTAATGCTAATTATAGCAACTAGAATTAGTTATTCTCAATAACTGACTCTCAACTAGATCATAACTACCTAACCAAAAATAGTTACATTAGTTACAATCATCTTGAACTGATAGTTACAACAGTAATGAAGTTAGCTTGTCACTCAAGCAACTTCACTAATATCAACCATCCTTTATGCTCAACAAGAAATAAAACCTGTGAAATGGCAACAGTTGCAAGAAAATACAGTAGATAGAAACTTTGACTAGTGGCATCAAACGAAGCATATGCTTAAATTTCCAGTCATTTTTGTACTAGTATATAGTATTTGTGATTTACTCGAAGCTTGGACTAGTCATCAATTGAAAAAACCACTCCATTGTCCTTAAAGTTGTGTGTTGTATGATCAATTACCTGTACACAGAACAAAAAGTCATATAAACCACAAAATATCCACTAAACTATTAAAAAAGACAATAAAAAGATAAATATAATTCATATGTCTTATTATAAAGAGCATTACAAATGAATTGAGGTGCATGTTGTAACACTCCATTGAAAGGGAATGTGAAAAACTTACATTTGTATTGCTCAATTCTAGATTGTAAAAGTCCATAGTATCAGACTTAAATATAGGACCGGCATGCCATGTCCCACGATTAAGCTTAAGAAATTTGGAACCTGAAATCTTGAAAACTTGGACATCCTCAACGGCAGGAGGCACATAAGAATGGCCACTGCGTGATTGCACGATTTTCTTGTCTATATCGTCCTTGATTTCATTTGAATCAACAATGGATGGCTTAGCCACACCAAGATACCAAACATTACCACCAATGGACCCAAGGCATTGAGTAACACTTGCATGATGTGTGATATTAGAAAACTTAAGTGGCCGATTTTCAAGATGCATGATGTAGAACCTACCAAAAACACATATTAAATCCAATAAGTTAGGACATAGGTTGGTGCATGGACCTGAATGTCAATCTGAATTTTTTAAAACTAATAAATATCTTAGCTAAATTGAGCTGATGGAATATGTAGAGAAAAACAGATTTGAAGTGTCTTTTGCATAGCTTCTTCAATGGTTTCCAATATTTCTAGCCTCCCAATTTTAATGTATATTGCTGGGTTAATGCCAAGATAAAAGAGTAGTACAATATAACTCAAATTTATCTCTAGCATCAATATAAGAAGCTAAAAAAATAGGGCAACTTTATGCACTTAATCTCAAGATAATACAACCCAAAGAGCTTAAAATTACAACAATCAACATCGTGTAAAAGTGTAAAACTATAAATCCATCTCAAGATAATACAACCCAAACAGCTTAAAATTACAACAATCAACATCGTGTAAAAGTGTAAAACTATAAATCCATCTCAAGATAATACAACCCAAAAGCTTAAAATTACAACAATCAACATCATGTAAAAGTGTCAAACTATAAATCCATCTCTATGTTGATCACAACTAGTGGCATTTAAAGGTTCTTTTTAAAACATTGGTATTCGGACTTGCAGCCGACTAATTCAAGGAGACCAATCTCACCGTCCACTTGCAAGGATCTCGTTTAAAGCCCGAATAAATCTCGGTATGAACTTGACCCAACACAAGAATTATTTGCATCTAGAAGAATTCAAACTTAAGATCTTGAAAAGAACACACTCTCAAGATCCAAACTTTCAACACTGAATACATAAATAGTAATACTTTCCACATACAAAACATAATAAGTTGCTTATAAAAAGATACAAGGAATCTCGATAAATTCCAAGACTCTCTTTGGCAAGCTATATTTTAAGCTTATAACTTATCATTTTTTCTTCCAATATACATTTAATTATTAAATAAAAAATATCTTTTTATATGTCATTTTACATATTTATCAGCGGGTTAACTTATAACTATAAGTCATCAATCATAAACTATCATAGAAGAAGTCCAAAAAAAAAATAGAAATTTGAAAAGTCTCAAAATTACCAGATAGAGTTCAAAAATCTACAAGGGGGTTGACAAGAGGCAAAAGGGTATTTGAAAAAAAACTGAAAAAAATTGAAAAATTGATAAAAATTGAAGCTTGATTGAAAACCTGGGAATTCCTTTGCTGAGATCAAGTTGAGCGTCATGGGAACCGAACCCCTCGCCGTTCTGTAAAGCCTCAATGACCTGGCCGTAATCTTGGAAGGTTGACGGGGTTGCTTCGATTGCCTTCACCGTAACCACCGTCACGCTCTCCATTTCCGATCAAAGTTGTGGACGTATCTATAATTTGTATTTGTTTAATTCATTCCATCACTTATTATTATTAGTTTTTTTTTTTAAATTTTAAGATACTCAAACAGAATTTAAAAATATATTACACTTTTAATTAATAATATTAATAAAAAAATATTTGACTTTTATTTAATCACCTCTAAAAGAACATGTATTATTAGATAATTTATATGGACATTGACATGTAAACTGTGATTTAGTTGCTAGACGAAACACACGCTTAAATTTCCAGAAATTATGTAGCAGTAGTACACAGTTTGACACTATATGTCATTTATTTAATTGTACACAATGTGCAGAATCTGGAAACAACAAAAAGCTCCAATTACTCCTCAATTGAAAAAGCCACTCCATCATGCTCCTTGAAGTAGTGTGTGGTTTGATCAACCTCCTGTACACAGGATAAAAAACCACCAGGAATATCAACTAAACCATAAAGAGCATTGCAAATGAATATTCCATTGAAAGGGAATGTGAAAAGCTTACATTTGTATCGCTGAGTTCTAGATTATAAAAGTCCATTGCGTCAGACGTAAATAGAGGACCGATATGCCATGTCCCACGGTTAAGCTTGAGAAATTTGGGACCTGAAACCTTGAAAACGCGGACATCCTCAATGGCAGGAGGCGCGTAAAAATGACCACTGGGTGACTGCAGGATTGTCTTGCCTGTGTTATCCTTGATTTCATTTGAATCAACAATGGATGGCTTAGCCACACCAAGATACCAAACATTACCACCAATGGACCCAAGGCACTGAGTCACACATGCATGATGTGTGATATCAGAAAACTCAAGCGGCCGGTTTTCAGTATGCATAATGTAGAACCTAACAAACACACATTAAATCCATTAAGTTAGCATATTGGTTGGTGTATGGACCTCAATGTCATTTTGAATTATAAAGTTTCATGTGACTATATATAAGTTCCACTAGTTCAAATCATTTGCAGATTCTTCATTCTTTCTAATATGTATTGCTTATTAAAAGGGTGAGTGAAGTAGCTCAGTTAGCAATTCTTATTTGAGTTAAGAGACTCTTAAAAGGGTGAGTGAAGTAGCTCAGTTGGTAATTGTTAATTGAGTTAAGAGACTCTTGGTCTAGGGTTCAAATCCTGATACTGTTGACGATTTTGTATCACCAATGTATTTTAGTAGTAATGTGATTTCTAAAGGCCGATGCAATTATGCGTTAAGTTCGGAGACGAGTTAGGGAAGTGCGGAGTGCACGTTCGTCGAGTCAATGCATAATTGAATACGAATAATTGAAACGGGGTGCGGGGCAGCGCCCCGTTGGGGTTCCAAGGGGCGAAGCCCCTGACGGGGTGCGGGGCATAACTGTTTCCCAACTGACATATTCGTTTCGAACAAATATGTCTCTTCGTTTTCAATTACTATTCTCCTATATAAGGAGTCGTTCGGCATCGGTCTCGCACACAGAAAAAAAACGCATCATTCTCTCTATAATTACAATTCGTTTTCTTTTGTCGGAAACAGAATTTCTTCGAGAATTATCCCCACAAAGATTTCGTGAACCCAGGCAAGAATAGGGTCGAAATAGTACGATTCTTTGAAGTTATCAAGGATTATCACACCCTAAATATCTAACAGATACCGGTGTTGATATTTTATAGATATGAAAAAACATTAAATATGAGCACGAATTCCGACACCGACACCCGAGCAAGATACGAACACATTTTATTCAAAATTAGATTAGTACTTTCCACAAACAAGTACATAAATAATTGCATTAGTTGCATATAGAAAGATAAAGGGAACCTCAATAAATTCCAAGTCTCAAAGAATAGAAATTGTAAAATCTCAAAATTAGCATATGGAATTCAGAAATCTACAAGGGGAATTGACAAGAGGCAAAAGAGTATTTGAAGAAAAAAAAACTGAAAAACATTGATAAGTTGATAAAAATAGAAGGTTGAATGAAGACCTGGGAATTCCTTGAGAGAGGTCAAGTTGAGCATCATGAGGACCAAACCCCTGGGTGTCTGGTAAAGGCTCAATGACCTGACCGTAGTCTTGGAAGGTTGACGGAGTCGCTTCGATTGCCTTCACTGTCACCACCTCCACACTCTCCATTTACAAGCAAGCTAAACAAAGCAAGTATTAAGTGAAATATATATATGAGACAAAAACAATTGATTGAACAAAAAAGAAGAATGTAGATCCACAAACAATAAATTAATGAACAAGCAAGCAAGACGAGAAGAAGACTCACTGATGGAATATATATATATATATATATATATATATATATATATATATATATATATATATGGTGAAGCAAACAGCAAGAGGAACAAAAGAGAGATGCTAGATGTTGTGCATGAATGAAAAATTAAAATAAACATATAGGTGCACGTGTTATGATTTTATGACCGAACAGAGACACATGTAAGTTTGAGGATGTTTGCCGTACAATATTGTCAAATTTGTTTTTAATTTTCAAAAATTAATTTTTAAAGAATGATTTTTCAAAAAAAAATTCATTTACATATTTATCTTCTTATTTAAGGGTGTATTTGACAATAAGAAAAAAATATATAATAAAAAAAATAAGAAAGAGTATGAAAACAAAGAAATAAATAAAAAATAAAATAAATTTAATATATTATTTAAAATAAATAAAAAATGTGTTTAATATACGAAAGACTAAAATATCTTTATACTAAATACATCCAATTTTATTATCATAGTAATTTAGTTTCATGTATAAATTAATTTATTTTTTCATTTCAATTCATAAATTAAAATAACTATTTTTTATAAAAATTAAATTAATATTTAATCAATTATTAAAACATTTTAATTTAGTCAAATTTATATTCAAACATAAAATAACTTTATATTAATTATTTATTAGCAAGACCATATTTAGAAAAATGATCCAAAGTTACACAATCTTTTTTATTTCTTCGCTCTTGAAAAGAGAAAGAGTTTAAATATGGGGGGGGTTATCTTAATCTCTCTTTACTATTTTTATTTCTATGTTCATCAAACATGTTTGATGGGACACTTCTCCCCCATCTTCTTTCCTATCAACTTCTCTATTCTCATTCTCTTGTCATACAAACATATCCTAAATGTGGTTAATGAAGTATGATATGACATCATATGTGAATTAAATTTTAAAAATTTTAAATGTATTTTTATTTTTTATTTTTATATTTTTATTATAAATGACATAATTATGGATGTTTATCAATTAGAAAATTTCATGTTTATTTTCTATTTAGTATATATGTCTTATAAATATGACTCATATTGTACTTGAAATTGACACTTGTTGCACCCTAAAAATTGTCCTCCTGATTTTACTTTTATCTAATTTATGTTTTCCATTTCATTCACATCAATTCATTAGGTCATATGCATAACATGCATTCATTCAATAAGACACCTTGGTTCAAAAGATCAGTGGTCATGCAAGTCAAGGTTTCACATTGTTTTGAGATAAACATATCAAATAAGACTGATTTTCTGGTTCTTCTTTAAGCATTGGACTGTGGAATTAGGGTTTTGAAGTATGGTCATTATAGATCTCTTCTTCATCAAGCTACGAGGGATAATCTCCATTTGAATTCATCAAGGCCAAGGATTAGGGTTTATTTCCCTAACCAAGATCAAATATTAGGGTTTTCATATTTTGTGCTTCAACTGAGGATCACTGGATTAAGGTTTTGTGGCTATCTTAAGGCATTTTCTCTCCATCAAGCTAAGGTTTTCCTTCAAGACATGATCAGATGTTGTCCTCACAAAACATTCAAAGGTGTGAATGAGGATACAAGGACTTCTTTGTGATTTAGAATTAAGATATCTTCTCCTATGTTGAGTTCATCCACTGAAATAAGGTTTTTTTGTCAAGATATGGCATGTGGTGCATCATTCATTGAGAATACACTGGTATCCCATATTTCTTCATTCATCAATATAATGTATGTTTGTTGCTTGAGATTCAAGGCATTATGGATAATTGGTACAAGCCTTTCCTTCAGAGTGTTCATTCAAGATTTTTGGTTTCAAATTGGGCTTACAAAAGGTTCATAATTCATAATTGAAAGCTCACTTGAATTTTGGGTTTGACAAAAGTGAATTTCATTTGAATGTCGTGATTTGAATTCAAGTATTGACAAATATGGAAAGCATGTTCATGGATTCAAAACAATTTGAAATGGCATGGAAAATATTAAAACATGGAATTAAAGGTTTTCAAACATGTTCAATTGTTTAAATATGCAATTAGTTGCAAACAATTTCCATTCAATTTCATTCATTCAAGTTTACAAGCATCAATTACAATCCATATTGGCTTTACATTCGAAGCAGGAAAGTACACAATAGAATCGAAACTTGGAAACATTACAACGGACATGCCTAAACCTAAATGTCCTAAATTTCTAGGCTACTTGAATCCAATTTACATCAAACTTAAAGCCAAACAAAACCATGTAAAACCTTGTTGAATCTGTCCAAACATGATCCATAAAACCTACACTAATTCAATCCTTCATGCCAAAGCTTTGCTCATCTTAATTACCTTTCCAAAACCAATTGACCATAACATACAACCCTGCCACAAAAGCAGTTCTACAAAAAAATAACAAAAAACAATTAAAATTTCCAGCCTTGCATCAGAACCAATTAAAACCATATAATGCACACTATGATTTAAAAGCAAGGTGATCGAGACTAAGTCAAGGAGACGAGAACATTACATCAACCAAGTCTTTCATGATATCTTGAGATAAACATATCATTAATCTAAAGTATCTTGAGTGATCAATTGATCACTTAGAGGTAGATTTGAAATGATGAAAGTTCATCAAACATCAATTCAAAATTAATTGAACAAGATGAATTCATCATCAGCCAATTGATCAAAAGAAAAAATAAAAAAGAAAGAGATGAATATAGATGAAGGCAAAAAGTAAATTCCAAATTGGACCAAGGCATTGATCAAGTTATCATCAAAATCAATCATCCATTTTGGTGGATTAAAGTTTTCACTCCATCAACACGCAAGATTCATTGACGTCGATGAAAATCATGACCAAATGAGCCATGATCCAAGGCCAATAGTAGTCAACATAATTCAAACAAATATAAAATGCAATACAAGTAATTAAAATGCATGAAAAAGATTTTTAAAAATGATTTTAAAATGAAAATAAAAGAGAAAATATCAAAGTATAATCAAATCATCAAATAAATGGAAAATAAAACCATATAAAAATAAAAATGATTCAAAGTAATTTTAGATTTTTTTTATATTTTTTAAAATATAAAACTATTTTTTAACTAATTAAAACAAAGAAAATAAGAGAAAATTAAAAAAAAATAGAAAATAGTAAAAATAAAATCTCAAAAATTAAAATAAGATGTAAACTAATAAAAGAGAATTTTAGAAATTATTTTTGGATTTTTTGAAGTTAAAATGAAATTAAAATCAATTTTAGAAGTTTCAAATAATTTAAAATAAAAAGAAAAAAGAAAATAAACTAAAAAAGATGTGAGGCGTTGGATATGACCTCATTAGTTGACGTGACATATCCAATAACAATCATGCTAAAGCACATGATGGAAATTACTTTAGAAAACACACCAGATGTCAAATAAAGTCAGCCAACCAAGTTAAAACATATGGCCTCATATCATTGGCCAGAAAGTTTGAAACTAACTCAGGTGGTGGTTTTACACCTCCGATCATCTTCTCTGGTGATCTCTCACAGGAGTTTTGCAAATGGAACAATTTCATGAGACCTGTGCCATTATGATCGTATCATCAGTGCGAACTCATCCATAACCTCCATATAAATTTATTTAAACTGAGCGAAGCAAATTTTGGAAAATACGATGAAATTTCAGAAAACTAAAACTAAAATTAAATGATGAAATTATCAGATAAATAAAAGACGAGGGATGGGAAAATATCATTGAATCCAGAGCTACATTGTGGTATCAAGTATAAAGCAAAATGGAAGTTTCTAACTACCTGAACGAAGCATGTTGGAAATGAGAAAATCAGAGCAGGTCATTGAGGAGTTTCTATGCACCTTAGACCTTGATTATTGTTCCCTTAGCTTCAGAGAAGAACAATGAAGAGAATGGACATGAGAAATTAGCTTGAAAAAGCTTTGAAATGTGAAAGTGAGGTCTCACAATTGGGAGGTTTGGAGTGAATCTGAACAGAGGTTTTTTGGATCTCTAAAACTCAAGCATGAGGCAAATAGGTTGCTCTATTTATAGGAGAAATAATGATGAGCTCATACGTGTCAATTCGTTTGCAATCAAAAGTGAGAAATGTGTGACTTGGGGAGCATTCAAACACAACCAATCTTGGTGTTTTCAAGTCGTTTTTACTTCACGACACTTCACTAATAACATTAGAGTCCAAAGACGCGTGGTAATTTGGCATATTAAGTGAGTTTTATTGATAAAAAATTCTAATCAAAAGTGAAAATCATATTTCATGCACCCATGTTCAAGCTCACGTGCCAACATGTACACTCAACCTTTATGGCTCATTCGTTTTTGTAAAATGCTCACATCATCATATAGAGTACAATGTGAGAACAAAATATTAATTTGGGCATCTGAGCACAAAGTTATGACCAAGTGAAGTTGGTAAATGACCTGATTTTGAAAGTCAAAATATTTCTAAAGTCCATAAGGACCTATAATCTCATCCAACTTTCCATAGATTTCTAAGCATAATTGGCCTCTGATCCTTGAAGCAACCTTGTAGAGGGCATCCAAAATGATAAGTGAAATTCTAGTATATCAGACTTCAGATGTCCCATGACATGTCGAGACATCTGATCTAAACAAAACACACAGACAAAGTATAAACATACAAAACAATATTGAAAAGCATAAACAACACACATGAATTATTAACCTAGTTAGGAGCAACTCCCCTACTCTGGAGGCATACCAAGCCATGGATAAAGTCCACTATAATAGTATCAATTCAAAGCTAAGCTCCCTCGTTTACAACTTCTGGCTTAATCACTACACGTTCTAACTTTCTATCTAAGACTCACCTAGATATGAGGCCCTCCTTAATCCCTCATCAATTA